TAGCTCTGGTTAAAGCTACACTAGAAGAGTTGACAGGTGCATGGTCCAATGGAATAGTTCTGGTTGGAGCTGCACCAGAAGACTTGACAGGTGTATGGTCAAATGGAATAGCTCTGGTTGAAGCTGCACCAGGAGACTTGACAGGTGTATGGTCGAATGGAATAGTTCTGGTTGGAGCTGCACCAGGAGACTTGACAGTTGTATGGTCGAATGGAATAGCTGTGGTTGGATCTGCACCAGGAGAATTGACAGGTGTATGGACAAATGGAATAGCTCTTGTTGAAGCTGCACCAGAAGACTTGACAGTTGTATAGTCGAATGGAATAGCTCTGGTTGAAGCTGCACCAGAAGACTTGACAGGTGTATAGTCGAATGGAATAGCTCTGGTTGAAGCTGCACCAGAAGACTTGACAGGTGTACAGTCGAATGGGATGGCTGTGGTTCCGGTTGATCAGTCATTTCATGAAAACAGCCGTTGATTTCGAGATGTGGACGGTGAGCATTCATCAACTTCAAATCCTTGTTTATTATCTTGTTAAAAGTGCTAAGAGAGACACCTAGCTTCATAGCAATGTTTTTTCATTTGGCTGAATGTTTTACTCTGATTATTTGGAGGTATGATCACCGTCTGTTACTGTCCTAAACGATCTATTGAGCGAGATTTTCCGCTTCCACGAATAACGTTGAAGGTTATCTTTGAAATATTTCGTACGTTGGCCCTAAATCGTGAAGCAAACTCGCTTCACGAGAGTCTTTACTCTGAAAGTGCTGTGACACATATCCAGCCATAAGTCCTTCAGTGACGGCATTGCACTGTCGAATGGTAGGGAATTTTCCATGAAACCAATATACAGATGCTAAATATCTTGTTCGTGGCGCCACGTCTTACATTATTCAGGCACACACACACATTATATATTATCATGTACAACACATTCTTATAAAGTGTGCTTAACCCTCGGTAATTCACATGTTGTTTCTAAAAGAGGTGAATAGTGTTCTTCATTTATATTTTTAACGAACACGTACCTTACAAATGAAACCAGTATTATGTTTCTTAAATTAATCTTTGAATATTTCTCACCTCATGCAGCGAGGCTGGAACTGACCCTCCACAGAGTGGAATATTTAGCATATTTCTCTTCTGTTCAGGATGTTTAGGTAAGTTATAGTTATACATCATGAAGTATTTCACGACACCAATGTAGCAACTTTCAAATTGCGTTTTAGCGATGTTAGAGTTAACGATAAGTTTAATTACGATTTAAAAATGAAGATACAATAAACTGAAAAGAAAAACTTTATTTTTGACATTATTAGTAGTGAGGTAGTTAACTTAATGTGTTTAATTTATTGACTCTTAATTATAAGATGTTTATGCCTCACGATTACAAATCATATTAAATAACCTTTGACCTCAGAATGGTGGTGTTGTGAGGGTACCATAATTTTGGCTTATACTCAAAGCCTTATAAGCCTAAAGGACTACCCTTAGGTTAATCTCAGATCTAAATCTCCAATCTGAGTAATAATATGGATAAATGTATGTAAGTAATAGTAGAATGTCATTATTCAACATTTAAATATTATCACGACTTAATTCCTATTCAGTTATTACCTTGATCTTATTTTAGTTGATGATGAACTACTGTTAAAATTTACATGAAAAGTCTTCTTTGACTCATTCAGTTTCAATAGAGAATGAAGGAAAAAGTCTCTTCCAAGAGTGCTAGAAGCGTCATTAGTTTAAGCCTCAGGTGGTTCCTCTTTGAACTAACTTTAAATAAAGCAAAAGATGTAGATATCGATAACAAATTATATTGCCTTGACGTGATATGACTTTAAAGTCATATTAAATTCAAAACGAATGAGTCAGAGAGGACATATATCAGCTCTGGTTTCATTACCAATTAAAAGCGTAATATGAAATGTTAGTTTACGTTTAGGGTAAGATACTTGGGGGTTGGTTAAACATAATATTCTGGAAATATTGACCTAGTACTTGGAGAGAGAAGATCAATTTAAATTACTTAAAACTGATTTACAAAGCTGATAAGTGAACCATTAGGTTCGAAAATGGGGGTTGAAGAATACTAGGGTTGTTGGATTTGCGGAATTACGCCCTCATCTTCCGATATGATGACACGTTATAAGCCATCGCCATCTTGAGATTAGGTGTCAAAGGTCAAAATGCTTTTGTCTAATTGCCTTCTTATTATACGTGGTCGTAATAGTTTGGGTTTAATTCATTTATAGCTTGTAGAGAAGAAATAAAAATGTATATTTTTAAGAAATGTTATCGTCTTGCCATTAAAATGTATTTATATTATAAAAAGGTATAATTTTCTCTTTTGTTTTTTGGAACGTATAAAATTGAAGTATTTTTCATAAAAAAGCCTTTTGTATAGATACTAATTCCTTTGATATTGCATACATTTTGTAGAGTTGTTTAGAAAGTCATATGCATTTACAGGTTTAATAACAATGACGATTCGCTTTGTACTGGTAACCAAGCTAAACAAAAACCATCTTAGGAAAATTCAAGTGGCCAATTGTACGTCACTCTTCTGTGGGATTGTTGCCATTGGAGGAATGATTGTGGTTGCAGTTTATCCAGTAAGTCAGCGATTTTAACTGTTTATGTGTATTGGCTAAATGTTAAACCACTTCTATCAAATTGATGATAATTGTTACAAATATATTGCAGAAGCAGTTTTTTTAGTTGGAGTTGTTAAGCACAAAGTTACACAATGGGCTATCTGTGTTGTGCCAACCACGATTATCGAAAGCCAGTTTTCAGCGTCTAAAGATTTACCGCTGTGCCACTGCAGAAGAGTTGTTTGTTTGTTTGTAATTAAGCACAAAGCTACACAATGAGATATCTGTGCTCTGCCCACCATGGGTATCGAAACCCGGATTCTAGCGTTGTAAGTCCGCAGACATACCGCTGTGACGCTAGGGGGCCTGCAGAAGAAGTAGAACATATTATAGAATTACAAATTGTCAGTTGTATATAAGTTTCATTGCTTTGTAGGGATTTCTACTTGCTCATCACTTTAGCTTCATTTCTAACAAGCTGAATACCTGTCATATGACGGGAAATAATGATTAATTTTCCTTCTCAAAATTATATCTAAATAAATGTTTTGTGAACATGTTTACTAAAAATTAATTATAATTTAGTAACAATATATGTATGGAAAATGACTATCCTATTTCTAGTATTTCACGAAAACAACTTATTTATATATATATTTAGTCATCTCTTTTCAGTATTGCTTGATTAGCATTTTGATTTCTGTATATGTTTAAGTTATGTTCAAATGTTTTTCTTGATAAATCCTTATAGATTGAAACATGAGAAAAACTGCAAATTATTAACTGTGATGGTAAAGGCAGTGAATTTTATTATGAATTTCGGGATCTTCTCTTTGGACTGTCTTCCTGGTTTTGTCTTTGTTATCCCGCTGAATTGAAGAAGCGCGCTTTAATTTGGGTATTTCCAAAATTGAAATGTGCTGCGGGTAAAACATGCGGGTTATTATAGAGTTGTAGCCGAGGGTACAGACTGGACAAAAATTTGGTGATGTTGCGTCAATGTGTCTCCTTGACAACCATGCAAACGTAATGGAGAATTTTAGCCAATGATTATGATTTTTGTGCGCCAGCAATACCAGACGTGGGGCACGCTTATACCGATTCGATTTTATTACACATCACAATCTCTACCAACCTACCCTCAAATCTAATTATATGCTCAAAGTAGCGCAACATCAAAGTTGGATGTCGATCGGTGCCGCAACGGCCGAGATATCGGCTTGATAGACGGACAGCTTTTCGTCTTTATATAATAGATAAGTAGGTTCTTCTGCTCAGTAATTACTATTATGTTTATGATTAATTATGTTTTCTATATCTACTAATTTATCTACATTCTAGATGTCATCATTGCAGCTTGCTCATGACATCGGAGCGTACGGCTTATTTTTTGTGGGGATCATCTACGCTTTTTTGCAGACATTGGTCAGCTATTTTCTTTATCCTGATCACAACGGACTGGCCACATGCCGGCTTAGGTTGACCTTTGTAACACTGTGTTTCGTATCGCTCATCATTAGTATCCTTTCTCTTTTGTTAGGCTTAAGTTTTAAAAAAAACTTAGATTTTTTATGATTTAAGTTTAATTTGAACATGATATTATTATTAAACTTAACTTACTTTGTTTTTTAGTATGGAAATAATTCAAATGGTTCTTTTAGTGCTTCACTTTATTATTTTACGTAAACCTGATATTGTTTACTTTTTAATATAACATCAGAAGTAACTTATTCTGATAAAGTTGTTCAGACAATCACCCAACGAGCTGAAATTAAAACCCAGTACTGGTCATTACCAGTTACAATACTATCATCATCCATAGTACATTTATCATAATTTTATGGGGGGAACACAACACGAAACAACGTCAAAAGTAATATTTATGTAACGTAAAAACAGTGAGACGAGTGCTTACAGACACCAGAGAGCGCTATTCTCTAGAATAGAGAGGGCTCCCACTAGAAGGATTTTTGATTAAATTCTGACGAAAATCTGGATAGGCCTAGGAAAGTAAAAAAAATCAGTATCTTTATCTCTTTTAGAGCACATCCATAGGAAATTACAAGAATTAACCAATCATTACTCATAAAAAAAAACGAATCGAAAATAGCTCTATCTGGTGAACAAAAATGTAAGTTGAAAATTAAAAAATATAAAAAATATAGCCCACAACAGTGAAATATAGTAACGAAACAATGAGCTGTAAAAGTATTTTAGCATAACATCGACAAAAGTTTCATTGACCGGTTGTTCATGTTCACTTGTTGTTATTACTTCATTTCTGAGGGATTTAAAACCGAAATATGATAATCTTGGCATTATCTTCGTCGGTCACATTTCACTGGCTTGCTTTTTACCTTTGTTGTTTTTTGCGTTTTGCTTTGTTTGTTTATTAAAAAGCACAAACCTACACAATGGGCTATCTGTGCTGTACCCACCGAAGGTATCGAAATCCAACTTTTAGCCTATGAGCCCATAGGCTTACAATCGAGCCATTGGGGTAGGGGGGGCAACCAGCACGAGAATCCAGTGTTTAGTTAACGCAATCATGTGGCAAGTGAAATGGATTTGTACCTCTGATATAGGGATTTAAAAAATATATTGTGTTTTATCCAGAATGATTCCTATATTAGTTATATTCTTATCCATATAGCATTTCATCAACAGTTCAACATTGTCTTGATCACTTGTCCTTACATTTTAACATTTTAGTTTGTTTGTCTGGAATTAAGCACAAAGCTACACAATGGGTTATCTGTTCTCTGCCCATCACGGGTATCGAAACCCGGTTTCTAGCGTTGTAAGTCCGCAGACATACCGCTGTGCCACTGGGGGGCTAACATTTTAGAGTGACATACACCATTTGTCCTTGTTAGTGTCGTATTAAGCATCTGTGGGGCCCGTAGCATTTGTAGAAGATGGGGTCCATATCTGTCAGAAAATATGTTATTTACTGTCATTTTACTTTTTGAAACTCTATTACGACTGGTACAGTTTTATCTATTTTCATTAAAAGTATTTAAGTAAAAAAATGGCTCAAAAATCAAACAACTCTTGTAATAATATTAAATTATCTTATAAGATAAAATAAAATGAAAATTTTAAACTAAATAATATCATATAAGCAAAAGTACCCGTCCCCAGTGACGGGAAAAGATTGAGTTACTCTATAAATGTAAATTATTTCATGGACTTTGAAAAGGTTAATTGTGTGGCACTCTTGGTTTCACTGACAGCCAAAGCTCTGAGCTACTTATACCGCCCACCGCGAAAAAGTAATTGTTGAGCATTTCACTCATACTGAGAGCCACTCAACAATAACATACGATAAATCTACATTTTGTTCAAGTTACGTCACATTTTAAAATGTGAATGATAGTGTGATTAATTCCTAACAATTTAGTGAAGAATATCCTGATTGCGAAATAAAATTTTGTATCAACATTATTCATGAATGTTCTCCCGTCATTTGAAAATGAAATGTTGAGCTTTATCTGTGCGCTTAACTTTTCAAACGCAACATGCGAAGCAGCTGGCGTATGTTAATTAAAATTGCGGACAATGAACAGAATGTAACATACCGTGAGTAATGCAGCAACAATGTAACAGGGGTTGTTACCTAAGATTCAGTAACAGTGCAAACAAAAGAACAATTCCTGAGAGGGAGGAAGAGGTCAAAACTGAACCTGACCCTCCCTGGTCCAAAACATGGACCGAATCCAATGAAAAAGCAAGAAGGCGTAAACGGGAGACAGACAACACTCGGACAAACACCGCCGTTCACAAGATTTACAAGACTTCGTGCCCACATCTGTTAGATCAGTAATTTGTATCCATTACATGCGCTTTTCTACACTACTTCATTGAATAAAATATAAACGTTTTCACTTTCGGCAAACGTTAGGTGTTGGTTAGGGCAAATTACGGTTATTTGTAATGCGAGTGTCTTTAGGGGGGAAAGTTACGCTGTTTTTGTGACAGTTTGTAATGTCATCCACACAAATACCCCCTCCCCGATAAAAACCAAGTTTTAATACTCGAGGTGGGCACAGCAGAGATAGCTCATTGTGAGCTTTGCGCTTAACAACAAACAAGTAACAATAAAAAAATACTGTTACACAGAAAAATAGTCAAAGAAAATTACGAAAGATGGCGCCATACATGAATGTCATAGATGCGTTTTTTTTTTTTTTACGTGTATTACTCTTGTCGAGTTCTGGGTGGAATTAATAAATCGAACCTCGACAATGGTAACAGTTAGTAGACCTCAGAAAAGATTCTCGTTTTAATGTATAACTTTTGTTCAGTATCGCATATCTGGCTTCCGTTAATCTGCGTTTATTTTATCTCGGACTTTAACCGCACAATTATCAGTGTTTATAATCTTCGCTCTCTGCGTGACTATAAGTCAAACATTGAGACATAAACTAATGATTATCCCGAACGTGCTAGCGTGTGTAGAGGACAAAATTGCATGTTTCAAGAAACTGCAATACAAATGTTATTTTTATAGATGTAATATTAAGTGACAAAAAACAGAAAAACTTAAAAAGGATTAATTTAGTTTTGCATAATAATAATTATTATTTTTAGAGGATTCATAAAATAAAATAAAGGCGAATTTATCATTGAAATATGACATTTTAATTTAAAATATTTTAATAAACTGTATTTCTAATTGGCTATAGAATATCCTTAAGTTTCATCTCTGTATATAGTATAGAATAAAAATTACTGGATTCGTAAATGACTGTGGCCCAATGATAAGTTTGTTTGTTTGTTGAACTTCGCCCAGGGCTTTCTGGGCTAGCCGTCTTTTCATTAGAAGTGATTAACTAGAGGGAACACAGCTAGTCAAAACTACTACTCATCGCCAACTATTCACCAACGAATAATGGAATTAATCGTTACATTATAACGCCCCTGAAAGGGCGAGCAGGTTATAGAGAACAAAGACACAAAGTAGCTACAACAAATCAACTTCAGTGGTTTTGTGGATCACTTGTCTGTGCTAAAACTTCAAGGTAAACGAAAAATTCTAAAATACCCATAGCACTGAAAGCTTGCATATCACCAGGGGCATAACCAGGTCTTCCACTTGGGGGAAGTGGCAGACATTTTTAACAAAATGGTCATTAAAACAAATCAAATCAAATGTGATAGTGTTTATAGAAGTTTTACTTATATTTATTAAAGGATACAAAACGAGTTTATTATATATATATAAAAGCTGAAAAATTATGTGATCAATATGCCTAGATTTCTCAAGGGGCTGCCCCCCTGGCTACGCCTCTGCATATCACATTACTAACAACTTTGTCCAGGTTTTTGAACTGAATAACGGGATTAGTTGCCACTTTAATAATGCGCATGTTCAGCCGGCATCACTCTCGAACCTTAGGCTTTCCAATTTACAGGTCGACATGTTATTCACTAAGCCACTAAGACCTTAACTCATAGAAAAATGTTTTTAGAAAAAAACTTCGTATTTATTATTTGGAAATAAGTTAGGCATTAAAGAGCAGGTGTAGTTGTAGTAGTGTTGTCCAACTTGACAATGTAAGTAATGTGATGAGTCACGTAGATTTAAGTCTGTACAATTTTATAGTTAAAATGATCGTACAGAACACCAAATGAAACATATTTATCTTTACCGTGTGTGTTAGGGGTTAATAAATTATCAAATGTCGTGATTTAGGAACGATGTATGGTTAAATGGGTGGCCAGCAATACAGAATGGTTTTTTTTTATCCCCATAAAAATGTCGTTTCTTCTACACAAAGAACATAAATGATTTACATGAAAGCCAAATTTTTATTTAAGAATAATCAGAAGAGTGTGGGCTTTTTAGAACACTGAGACTGTTCCTTAGAACCTCAGACCCTCTCCCCAGGCTACGCCCCTAGTTTATATTATGGGTAGTTCGGTATGTGAATGAGAGTACGATGTGTAATTTTTCTACAGCTACATCTCTAAAGGCTTTATCTCTGACGTCATTTTCGGCAGAAATGGTTACATGCTGTGATATATATATATATATATATATATACACACACACACATTAACATTCATATTATACTCATTTTAAAGTGAAACTTAGCAGCTTCTGATTACAATAAAATAACTATAGCATCAGAACTATGCTAAAATGACATCGATGGACGTAGCATGTATGTCATTATCTGTGCATGTAATCAAAACTCTTGCGCCATCTATTGAACGCCACCATAAACAAAAACCATAAAAAAACTTCACACTGGGTATTCAAGATTCAGACAATTTCTGCTGCAAAGAGCATCGAACCTGTAATATCCTTAGTTAATTAAGTACAACTGAAATATTTTAAAATTTGTAAACGTAATGCTGATTCAATGACCTTAACCAAGTTTCAGTGATGATTTTCTATCCAATAGGTAGTGCAGAATTCGATTCGGGAAACTACAGTCATACGAAACGACTGAAGCATCCGGGTGAAAAGGTATGTCTATTATATCAACGTAATTGTTTGTTTTGAATTTCATGCAAAGCTACACGAGGGCTATCTGCGCTAGCCGTCCCTAATTTAGCAGTGTAAGACTAGAGGGAAGGCCATCACCAACGAATTGACCGTCACATTATAACGCCCCCACAGCTGAAAGGGCGAGCATGTTTGGTGTGACAGGGATTCGAACTCGCGACCCACAGATTGCAAGTCGAGCACCCTACTCACGTGGCCATAAGGTATGTACAAAATTTCTTTACACTATAGGATATCACAGTTGTTTCTAAAACTAAATAATTTTCTTTTCTTGTCAAAGTTCACATAGGTTGATTCAAGTACTTTAGAATACAATTGACAATACGAACTATTTTTCTTTACTCTTATCACAATAATATCAGTAAATAATTCACTTAAGCTATCCCGTAGGTTACCACAGTTGTATTCTGAACTTCAAATAATTGTCTCCTTTTCGTCAAAGTCCACATAGACGGGTTCAATTACTTTAAAACACCCTTTGACAAGACAACTTGTTCTCCTTATCTCTATTAAACTCTGAAACTCACTTTTAAAATATCGCCCATTACAGTTAATCACTCATACGCCAGCTAACTTCACGTTTTATAAAAAAAAAATTCTGACTGAACTTTACTTGAATTGCGCTCGCTTGGTCGCCTATATTTATTGCTTGCTTGCTGAGGCTTCGAACTTTCTATAGACTACGCGAGCGACGCAGTAACGTAACAATACTCATTTCAGGTAACGAGAAAAATATCGAAGATTCGAGGAACTTGGCGTCAACAATTGAACCACACACACGGCACACGACTCTTACCGAGTAACGCAACCAAACTTATCATAACTATCGCCTTTAAAATAATTACTTTTAATTCTTTGTTATGAAAGGTAAATTAGATATTAAATCATCAAATAAACTGAATAATAACTCTTAAACTAATCAGTCTCGTATGTCCAACATCTACGTTTTCTTAATTTTTTCTTTATGACTCCTAAATCTTATTTATCACGACTTCGTTCTGTCGGTTTAGGAACATTTAAGAACAATATGTGTACTCGTAGGATTTGTCTGATTACACATAATTATCATATGTCCACCAGTTCATAAGCGTTCTTTTATTAGGTTTTATCTACAGTTTTCTTCATTTCTTTTTCAGGGGTTCGTTGAACTGGTTGTTAGTTCTGTGGCAGAGTGGACATTAGCTCTCTTCTTCATCTTCTATTTCTTCTCATACATCCGGGAATTTCAGAAAATAACGCTACATTACAGGATTGATTTGTTGGATCATCATTTTGATGAATCGTCAACCAAACAGTCAGACGAACGCCATCCTTTGCTTTTTGAACAGATTTAACTATACGTTGCATATACTTCCGTGATCAGTTAAAATAAACAGTGGCATTTTTTATAAATATATTTCCCATTTGTAAGTTAGTAATGATTGATTTTAATTGTTGGTTGAGATCTTCCTTCAAGCAATATGGAAAGCATTTTAATTTCGTTTATTTTCATAAAAACCAGATCATTTAGGGTCACTCTGGTTTCATGAAAACTTGACTGATATAAATTAAGAAGAAACTCCTATAATTTTAAACATAAATCATGTCATATAAAATTATTTCTTGAATAGTTCGTCTCATATAAATTTTATTCCGTTATTAAAGTTCCAAGGACTAAGTCTTATGAACATCGTTCACAAATGCAATTTAACTGGTTTTCATCTATGTACGACTATTGTATAGCCAGCCGTCCTTCAACAATATTATATGCGACTATTGTATAGCCGTTCTTCAACAATATTATATGCGACTATCGTATAGCCGTCCTTCAACAATATTATATGCGACTATCGTATAGCCGTCCTTCAACAATATTATATGCGACTATTGTATAGCCGTTCTTCAACAATATTATATGTGACTATCGTATAGCCGTCCTTCAACAATATTATATGCGACTATCGCATAGCCGTCCTTCAACAATATTATATGCGACTATCATATAGCCGTCCTTCAACAATATTATATGCTACCATCGCATAGCCGTCCTTCAACAATATTATATGCGACTATCGCATAGCCGTCCTTCAACAATATTATATGCGACTATCATATAGCCGTCCTTCAACAATATTATATGCTACCATCGCATAGCCGTCCTTCAACAATAGTGAATATTGTCTTCTTTTTTTGTCGTAATAAATATTTATTTATCTATTTCTTTTCCAGAGAAAATTTATTTATTTCGCCTTTTCAACTCAATAATGTCCTATTTTCAACTTATGTTTTGACGAATTACGAATAAGTTGAAATTGTCCACTGAGAAGCAGCGATGAATGAAAAAACAACGTTCAAACTTAAAAAAAAAAGAGATACTGGTGCAGTCTTGTGGGGTAGCAAGGAGATCCTCACCCTCACTTCAGGTGCAGGGGAGGCGTCGCCACCATACTTCAGGTGTGGATCGATGTGATTGTAGTCATGTCTCTAATATGGAAGTTTTTATCGTTAGCTGAAACTCTCTGGATGTGCATATACTGTTGGTTAACATTAACGAACCTTAAGCAATGATTTTCTGAATTTCTAATTGATTATTGAACGCAAAAGCCATATTAAATAACAAGCTTACTAATTAGTTGCGCTGTCGGGTGGGGATCGTGGCTTACCTCACCTCCAAATTTAACACTACATCGCTCTGTCGGGTGGGGTGGTGATCGTGGCAATACTTCACTTCCAAATTTAGCACTACATCGCTCTGTCGGGTAGGGTGGTGATCGTGGCAATACTTCACTTCCAAATTTAGCACTACATCGCTTTGTCGGGTGGGGTGGTGATCGTGGCAATCCTTCACTTCCAAATTTAGCACTACATCGCTCTGTCGGGTGGGGTGGTGATCGTGGCAATACTTCACTTCCAAATTTAGCACTACATCGCTTTGTCGGGTGGGGTGGTGATCGTGGCAATCCTTCACTTCCAAATTTAGCACTACATCGCTCTGTCGGGTGGGGTGGTGATCGTGGCAATACTTCACTTCCAGATATTATTGCCGGTTTTAGAACCCTTTAATTATGGGCAACTTACTTTATCACACCTAATGATAATTTTTTTTTAGAGATTCGACGTACAATGTAGCAATATATATATAATTACTGGTTCAGTCATTACTGCCGTATTATGAGTTTCTTTGTATTTGAGCAAAAGTTACACAATGGGCTATCTGTGCTGTACCCACTATGGGTTTCGAAACCAGATTTGGAGCGTTATAAGTCCGCAGACATATCGCTGTGGACTACTGTCGTATCAAGAGAATACTCTAGCTTCAATATCTTCCACATACTGTAGTAACTTAGTCAAAGAACACAAGTTTCTTTTTTGTTTTGTACCTGATGTCTAAAATTGATTATTCTTATTATATCTACTTCATGTATATTCCAATAAAATATTGATTTGCCTGGTGATGTTGGGAAGTTTTTCTTAACGAAAATTAAGAAGAATATAGAAAACTTTACAGGTTTAAACACGAATTCAAGTCTACTAGAGTTATTAACATTTTCACCTTATCAGCAATAGTGCATTTCTATAGAATTCGCAAAAATTTTTTGGATTGATAAAAGAAAAAAAACAACGAGTCTAAGTATACTTTTCCCACTGAGTTCGAATCCCCGTCCCACCAAACATGCTCGCCCTTTCAGCCGTGGGGACGTTATAATGTGACGGTCAATCCCACTATTCGTTGGTAAAAGAGTAGCCCAAGAGTTGGCGGTGGGTGTTGATGACTAGCTGCCTTCCCTCTAGTCTTACACTGCTAAATTAGGGACGGCTAGCGCAAATAGCCCTCGTGTAGCTTTGCGCGAAAATTCAAAACAAACAAACAAACAATTTCCCGCTGAACCTGTACACTGGTAAAAAAACGATAAACATATTACGTATCTTAACTGTTACACTTTATTCTAAATTGATAACTAAGATTACTGTAGCTTATCGGTTTGTATAGTATACACAAATATTGCCCTTATTCTATTTGTTAACCAGTAACTGCTTCTTTGTTTATATGATGATTTATTTTTGAACACAGCACAAAAATTCTAATCATCCCTATGTAGCTTTACCGTTCTGCTGGCCCCGCATGGCCAGGTGGTTAGGGTAATCTGCGGGTTGCGGGTTCGAATCTCCGCCACACCGAAACATGCCCACCCTTTGGGCACAGAAGCGTTACGATACTAATAAATTTTTGTTTGTTTACTTTTATAAGTTCGGGAGTTATCCTTGAAATATTCCACTCAAGGAAAATCAAAGACATGGATCTCGATTCGCAACGGAATGAGACAAGTTACTGACGTTTCGCATTGAAAAAGCAACATTTCCAAAAAAAGATTATTCCACCTGATGAAAGTTATGTATTATTTGTTTGGTATTAAGCACAGAGCTGGACATTGGACTATGTGCGCTCTGCCCACTGAGGGTATCGAAACACGATTTCTAGAGCTATAATCTATCAGCTTTACATCTAACCCACCAAGGGGCAGTTTTGCTTGTTTTAGAGTAAAACCACATTGGGCTATCTGTTGTGTCCACTACGGAGAATCGAACCCTGGATTCTAGAGTTGTAACTCGGTAGACTTACTGCTGTCCTACCCGGGGACGTTTATTGTTAAGCACAGAGTTTCATAATTGTCAATCTGTGCTTTGTCCACCGTGGGTAATCAAAACCCGATTTTTTAGAGCTATAAGTCCCTAGACTTACTTCTGAGACACCAGGGAGGAATTTTATATTAACATGTATTCAAGAAATTAATACTACAGAAAGGGTTATTTTTTGAAAGGCTGTGTTTATATTATGAGGAGAAATTACAGTAAGTGGGAGCATGTACTAACGTACAAACTTTTTATCAGTCACAAGCTACAATGCTTGACATAACAATTGAGATATTTTGAAATAATCAAAGATTCCAGTAAAGTAACCAACAAATAAATATAATTCTTAAACGTTTAAAATTGATGGAAACAACATATCGTGTTTTGTAACATACGCCGCTATAAACGATCTAAAGCTGCCAAACAGGTCCGCGTCCGTGGGTACGTTATATGATTGACGGCAAAATTCCGCTATTCCATTTTTGTAGCCCAAAGCTTGTCGGTGGGTTGTATTGACCAACTCACTTCCCTATAGAGTCTAGCCTATCGCATCAAAATTATATTACACAGTACGGTCACGGGCTCTGATTCTATTTGACAGTGCTCCGAATCCCCAGTTGGTGTCTTGAAAAATCAGAATATAAAACCATAATGGATATCATACTGAAGAGCCGAAAATTGGCCCGATCCCTGAATCTTTTAAACATCTAGCGACGCCTCTATATTACAGAGTATTTAAAAGCTACATAAAGTAATTTAGACGTCTTGAGATAATTATACAACAACTGAATTAATAATTCAAGATGAAATACAGATAATAACGGTAAATGAATCTCATCAAAGCTTGATTCCGTTCTCAACCGTACTTATTTACTCGTTATAAATTAATTGTTCACGAGTCTTTTTTTTTTATTCTAATAAGTATAAATAATAAGTTTTTCGGAAATAATATCTTAATCATATAGTACATTTAAGCTATATTTGAAAGATGGCGTTGTAAGTGTATTGTAGGCTCTAACGTCGTTAACTTAATGAACAACACTAACCAATCAAAACTCGTTTTACGCTTTATAACCCAATCAACTTTAAACCAATCAAAACAACACTATGTTTAAGCATACTCTTTAATAGTTAAAAAATGGCCAGGTGGTTAGAGCGCTCGACTCGCAATCTGTGGGTCGCGAGTTCAAATCCCCATCACACCAAACATGCTCGCCCTTTCAGCCGTAGGGGCGTTATAATGTGACGGTCAATCCCACTATTCGTTGGTAAAAGAGTAGCCCGCGAGTTGGCGGTGGGTGGTGATGACTAGCTGCCTTCCCTCTAGTCTTACACTGCTAAATTAGGGACAGCTAGCGCAGATAGACCTCGTGTAGCTTTGCGCGAAATTTAAAACAAACAAACAAACTGTTTAAAAATAAAAATAATGTTGACAAATAGCTTTCGGTTACAAAAAATCTAAATTAATCAAATACTGTACTTTACATTGAAAAACACAACGACACAAAATAAACATTTAACTATTTAAAACACAACGACACAAAATAAACATTTAACTATTTAAAACACAACGACACAAAATAAACATTTAACTATTTAAAACACAATGACACAAAATAAACATTTAACTATTTGAATACAAAACGTCCCATACTTTTAAAATTACTATAATTATTTATTGAACAAAGCCACATCGGGCTGTCTGCTGTGTCCACCACGGAGAATCAAACCCCGAATTTTAGCGTTGTAAGTCCGTAGACTTACCACTGTCCCTCCAGGGGACAATTACTCATAAAAATAATTATTAGTAACAATCTAGCCAACTTTTCAGTGTTTAATATTGATTGGTATCTTAATTGTAATACTTCCCATCATTGTCTGAGAATTAATATAGTAGATACCTCTCTTATCAAAGGACATCTTTTACACCTAACATTATAGTTTGTACGCTAGTTTTATTCATCTGTCATTAAGGTGCGAAGTTTTAGCTGTTTTCGGATTCATTTTCTGGAATAATTAACCATTAATATAGTAGATACCTCTCTTATCAGAGGACATCTTTTACACCTAACATTATGGTTTGTACCGTAGTTTTACTCATCTGTCATTAAGGTGCGAAGTTTTAGTTGTTTTCGAATTCGTTTTCTGGAATAATTACGAACTCGTCCAAGGTAAGCGGGTGTTTAAATATGCTGACTTTTCTTTACATTTTTCAAATTAACATAATAAATGTATACATGTTTACGAGTGAAATCCCGCATTCTTGAATATATTAGGCCGTCAAGAAATTAATGTCGCCTGTTCTTCAACTTGTTTGTTAATTTCTTAATGATTTGTAGGATCTAAAACCCCTTTCATGTATATATTAGGTCGTCAAGAAATTAATGTCTCGTTGTAGAACACTTTCGTTAACCACCCCCCAAAAAACGTACATCACGTATAATAGTTAAACGTACCGCCCAAACTTCACGTTAGTGTAGCATATATAATGTGTAAAGTTTAGTATACGCTAATCCCTTATAGTGATGGCACACGATGAGACACACATTCGGCATATAATGCTGTTTGAATACAAGAAGGGAAAGAACGTATCTGTAGCCACAAAGAATATCAAAGAAGTTTATGGAATGTTTTGAACGTTCGTAAGTGTCAACGATAGTTCAGCAAATTTTGTTCAGGTGACTTTAGCCTTCAAAACTGTGATGTCGGCCTCTACC